GAACGTCATCATTGTCTTCAACCTTTAGGTGCTTATAGGCAGATGATGATAGAGGAACAGAAAACTTCAGTGTGACAATGTGTTTATTGCGATCTGCATTCGTGATCTTATAAATGCGGTCAACAAGCTCAGAAAAGGTTATGTTTCGTGATATTATTATGCCTTTAGCCTCGCCACCTTCATAACTTTCAATGTTATCCTTGTGAACCCAGCTTCCGTTGTAGAATACCAATATTCCAACAGTATCCATTTCTGCAAATAACATCAATAAATCAATCTATTTGCATCCTCATCATAAGGTATACTCATTTCTTTACATTTCCAAATTGGAAATCAAAACAGAAAACTAAAGTTCTTAGCAAAACTAACCTAACCCAGAATGTCAATCAAATCCAATTCAAAGACTTAAAATTTCACACTTAAGCATCTAAATTGAGGGGAAAACTGACCAAACTAACCTATTTCTAGGCTAGACAAAATTAAGATATGATTTTTATGTTTCGTGTTATTTTGGGCACAATGCTTTATGGGTATTGAAGAATGGGACAAATAGCTTAAAACTCAAAATTACAAACAAGGGTTGCATACCATCAAATTTATTGGCATATATATATTGGCATTGAAGAATGGGACAAATAGCTTAAAACTCAAAATTACAAACAAGGGTTGCATACCATCAAATTTATTGGCATATATATATATTGGGAATTACAAAACAAAGCCACGCACTGGTCTTGAAGCAACCTATAAAATTCTTCATCACCCTTACTAGTGCACTCTCAGGAGTGTTCAAAAAGCCAAAAGCAATGAAACTGATACAGAATTGGTGAACTTGTATGGTGTATAACATGAGATATGAAACCTATTTCAAAATTCAAAACAGAATGAACTACATAAAAAACTGTCCTTTTACTCTCATATTGCAAATTATTTGTTCGTGAAATTTTTTCCAGAAACTTATCTCCTTTCCTTTCAAACAAACAGGATTAGAAGCCAAACCCCTAAAATTCAAAATTGAAGCAAAAACTGACCTAACTAACCTATTTCTATGCTAGAGAATCAAGATTTGATTTTTATTTTTTGTGTTATTTTGCAAAATGATTCCTGAGTATTGAAGAAGGGGAAAAATATCTTAGAACTCAAAATTACAAAAACAAAGTGACAAAGGATCAGAAGAGAGCACCTGGTGGCAATGGGTCTGGCGGGTTGCTGTTGTTGATGCGCCCTTTTCTATTCCTTTTGTTTCTCCTTTGTGTAGGCTTTTGAGAGGTGGGCGTGGTCTCCTCTTGAATTAAGGTGCTGGTCTCAGATTCTCTACGTGCAACAAAGGAGAGAAGAGCTAGAGAGTTGGGTTTAGATCAGAAATGAATTTTTGAGAGGAGATAAAAGGTAAATATTAAGTATTTATATGGAGGGTAACTTGGTACTTTCAGGTTAGAAAGTGAGTATATGTGGTTAAGTTTTATAAAGTGATTATTTTTTATTAAGGTTTATCTCTGGTGACTATCTATGTCAGCCCTTGCATTTGTGGTTCTACCCATGAGGGCTAAGTCTAGGGCAAGTCTAAGGCAAGAAAGGAAAAAAATATTATGCAACAAAATATAAACAATTTAGAAAGTGAATAAAATTGTTATGTATTTATAGGGAAAGCATCTATAATTTTTTGGTATTTTTTTTATAAAAAAAAATTGAAATTTTTTTGGATTTTTTAAATATTTTTTTGCTCGCTAACGTCATCGTGACGTCAGCACTGACGTCACAGCCCTCGGGCTGAAGCCCAGGCGAAACCTGCCCTTGGGCTTGCCCGGGCTGGTGGGACCCACGCCAAACCAGGCTGCAGGCTACAGCGCTGGAGCTGCCTTGGGCTTGCGAGGGGGGCCTTTTGCCCGGTTCTGTTGCTGCGGTGGAGATGCTCTTAGAAAAGTAGAGTGAATTCAAACTTTTACACACACCTAGAAGATCAAAGACTAAGCCACAGAACCATCGAAGACTTCAAATGCAAAATGCTCATAGTCCGTATAGCTTCTAAAGCTTCTGTAAGGTTTTTTTCTTCTACTCTTTTTGCTGCTGTTGAAGGTTGAATACTAATGTAAACTGTTAGGGTAAGCTAAAACTAATATGGGTAAGTTTTGATGTGGCCCCACTCTTGTTTTGGGCTGACTAAATATATGGAGGTAATTTTTGGGGTGTTCCCTCACGGGGGCTCCAGCTCTTTGTTTTTTGGCTGACTAAATATGGAATAAATTTTGAAAGAACTCGTGTATGGGCTGATGATAAAGCATGATTGGGTTTCCTCAATCCACAATTAGAATTTTGTGTTGTTTTTGTAGAATTTTCCAGGTCAACGGGCCGAGGGCCCACTCCAACAACACCGATATTGTCCCCACTTAACCACCTGCATAATCCTCAGGTGTGGGGTTTTATCACAAAAGGTCTCGGTGTTAGTTAGAGATGAGTATTTCTATTTAAACTACTTTCTCTTTGGCCCTCTAGCTGATGTGGGACAACAATGAGTTCCAACACTCCCCCGCACGTGAGACCCCATTTTGTGGGTTACACGTAGAGATCCACACATCAGCAACCACATGGAGCCATTGGGGACTCACCCATCGCGCGGGGCCAAACGAGGACCCACCCATCGCGTGGCACCTTTAGGCCTACGTGGAGCCATGTGGGGACTCACCCATCGCGCGAGGCCAAATGGGGACCTACCCATCGAGTGGCAGTACGGGCCCGCAACCTGGCTCTGATACCATGTAGAATTTTCCAGGTCGACGGGCCGAGGGCCCACTCCAACAACACCGATACTGTCCCCACTTAACCACCTGCACAATCCTCAGGTGTGGGGTTTTATCACAAAAGACCTCGGTGTTAGTTAGAGATGGGTATTTCTATTTAAACTACTTTCTCTTTGGCCCTCTAGCCAATGTGGGACAACAATGAGTTCCAACAGTTTTCTCTACCTAGTTTGAACGGGTGAAGCAAATTCGTGTATTTTCGAACTTTCAAGGGAGGTCACCAAACATTTTAGCTGTGGGTTATAATTATCATGTATTTGTCAAGGGCTGAATGATTTATGTCCTCACAAATCCAAGAAAAATAATTGAATTACTTAACATGGTGATATGGAAACAAGACTATTGACTTCATGAATTTGGATTCAATTGGCCTAATTCGAATTTGGATCGTAAACAAATTGGTTTTGGATTACAACTCCATTTACCTCTTTTCTTCTCATTTCAATATTTTGCTCACTGTTAAATAATGTATTTGTTATTTTTATTCTAAAATGACTTATGTCTTATTCATTATTATCTTTTATTTGATAGACAGTGTAGAAAACTATTTAGATGCTCACATCGAAGACGAGTAATGCAACCTCAATTTTATTTTGCTACAATATGTATTTTGAATTTCAAGGTTTTGATATATTTGTGGATTGCTTATATTTTTATGGATGATGAGGATTGTTTATATTTTAACTATCTAGAATAATTTTAATTGAACACTTAAAATATGAGTACAATATGGTGTCGTATGATTTTTCTTTTTTTATTTCCAATTAAATACGGATGATTTGAAAACTATTTCTAGTAAATATTATAATTCAAATTTCTTTTTATTAATTTTTTTTTTATAAATTAATTACATTTTTCGACCACATTTCCCTCCCGATAATGCATATTTCCAACAAACACTTCATCACCGGAAATACTTTCCGACAATCATTGCCTATTTCCAACAACATTTCCCAGGACATAATCGGGTCGAAACAATTACATTTCCGACCACTTGTTGCGACAAATAAATGTGGTTGGAAATATATATTTCTAGCGTAACTTGTCCATCATAAATATTTTGTTATACTTTTTTCCGACGAGATATTATATATTTTTCACAAACTCTTTTGGTCGGTAATGATAAGTGCGACGAAATCTAGCCCTCACAAATAATATATCATTATCGGAAAAAGTACTTATGACGACACTCATTGGTCAAAAAAGCTGACAGGACCCGCCCCGGATTTCCATGGAACCCGGGTCGGATCCCGCCTAAATATCCGGCATACCGCAGATGCCGGGCCCACTTACTAAAAACCGAGACTTTCCACCAAAAATTTTGGCAGAGTCTCCCCTGTAAACAGGACATATCCCAAAATTTCAACCTGTCAGAAACACAGATAAAAATACAACCCAACAGCCAGCGTAAAATATACACAGAGCTTAGTGTTACAAACCATGGCCTCCGGCCTCAAAATACCAAATTCTAACTGGGCAATAACAGAGCATTTAACAGAATTCAACCAACCAGTAAAAATAGAGTTTTACGAATTAACAGGGTACCGAAGCTCTACAAAAGCTCGGAGCACCAAAGTTTACGGTTCAAGGGCACACGATACAGCTCTGCTGCTCGTTCCAGTCAACTACTGGCTGTGGGGCGCAAAACAGAAAATTGTGAGTGGACAAAACAAAATTCAGTTTCATTTAAACCAAAATAATATAACCCCACTGTTAGAAAACCATGCATGAGAACAATGCATTAAGTCCGTCATATACATATATAAATAATTTGCTCAAACCCGAGCTAAATCCGAAATCTGATGAAACATACAAATCAACCCACCCAAACCTTTCCTTACAAAACTCAAATAAAACTCTCGAAACCCGTGCCCACCGGCACGACGAGCGGGGAAGTATCCTCGCTCAAAAATAAGAACAATTGTATATTACTATAATATGAGAGATACACTCTATATATATATATAAGACACACCTAATTGTACCGGGGAAACAATCCAACAAGGGATTGTTGACTAGCTCACAATTATCAGCCCTCAAACGGACTATGTGGCTAGGGACAAGCCGTCCAACTGGGGGACTAACTCTCAGCCAGCACGTACGGACGAAGAATCAAGACCCGTACGCCTGTAAACAGTCCTACGCGCGCAGACTACCCAATTAAGGGTCTACAGCGACACCCCGTTAAGGTATGCCTCGGGTTCCGACATTTCCAAGTATCTCAATTTCCATAATCACAATCCAATTTCCGGGGAGGTACACAGGGTAGTGCTTACAGCACTCCAAACTGACATTCTAAACTCATACTTTTCCTCATCTCATAACACCCCAAAGTACCTCACACAATTTCAACAAGCCATCACTTTCCCAATAAAATACTTATATGCTTCAAGATACTTTATATGTCAAAACCCAAATAAATTGCAAATAACTTTATAACACAACATATTCAACATATGAATAATTGGATACGAAAGGATGGGTTTGCATAAAACCAATTAAATCTCCATGCATAGAAATTTCCTTAACAAACCATGCTATTTATTTGAAAACAAAATCCACTCACAAGTAGTCCCACGCTGCGTGACCCCGAGAGGGTCCTGCCTGCTCTGAAGGCGGAGTCGGATTACCTATTTCAGAATAGGAATACGATATTAAAATCCAACATTCCGAAATAAGACTTTAAAATAAAATCCTAATTTTCCCGGGTTTCTAGTACGCACGAGGAACGAGACACTCCTAGGGTCCACCTAAGAGTTTCAAACGCTGGAAAAGTCTCGGAAGACACTCGGTGGACCGGACGGTCAAAACTCACGATCGAACGGTTAACGTAAAACATAAACTTTAAATCATTGAATCGGAACATCCGGGGCTCCGATTCACGATCCGCGAATTCCTATACGATCCTAGGAATACCAGGAATAACATACGTCTGAAATTTGGGTTTGATCCAACGGTCCAAACACATCACACACGAAAATCACATAATATGTCAAATTGGTTCGAGGCCCAAACGATATCCAAATTGAGATCCGCAAACTCCTACGCGCTCGTGACAACACAAGGATCATTCTAGGATAAAGTGTGACCTCTGCCGGACTGCCCACGCGCCGCCTCACGCGCTGCCGCGCGTGGGTGGCTTGATCACTTTTCAGGTGATCGGAAAAACTTAGTATTTTGTCTCCAAACTCCTAACCTAGGTAATACACCTAATTTGGAACCACTTTTCTTCTTGGGTGAAGACCAAAAAATGGCCGGAAGTGGCCGGAAATTCCAACTGAAAACCGGCCGAAGCTAAATTTCGAAATTTAACTTGTAAACTCTCAAAATTTCGGGAAACCTATCCAACAGGCAGCTAGAGCATGAAAAATAGATGAAATTTCATACCTCACTCGTCCAATTTGGTTGAGAAACGAAGGAGAACGAGCCTTTGGAAAATCTGCCAAAAACCAGCAAATTTTCTGCGTTTTTTCCGGTGGCTGCAGCGGCTGGCGACGGCAGAGATGGCGGGGGAGGAGACGGCAGGGCCGGGC